ACATGGTCTGTCATCTCCATGCATTCAGAAGAAAACACTTTGCTGTATGTGATGTGGTCATGGTTTTGTCTGGAACTTGATCATCTGGGAAGGTTGTTGGACCTTCCTGGCTACTTGTGATGAGTCTGGGATGTGAACTTGGAAATTCTGCCAATCTGGAGGAATGTGGAAATCTGAGTGGTTCGCACTGATTTGGGGCAAGGCTTATGAACAGGGGCCACTCCAAGTGAGCATCCTCCCTCCCCATGTCTTTGTTCAAACCCACAGGCAGGGACATACCATGCTGTAAGGTAGAAGGTTGGGCAGTGGGGGAATTGCATTAACAAGCTCTGGCATCTCAGCTGTGGAAATAAGAAAAGCAGCTCATGCTCTGCAGTGTCTTTCTTCTGAACCACACCATATGGCCAAGCCCAGCACCTTCAGCTTGTCAGCAGTAATTTGCTGGCTCAGGAGGGACTGAATCTTCTTTTCTGGTATTAAGGCATGAATAGCAGCTCCTTGCTGAAGTGGTACAGGCCCAGGTGTGTTGTTTGTGTGTCAGCAGAGGAGAATCTTAATACCTGGGAGGTGGAGGGTAGAGGGCTGTGTCTTCTCAGATGGGGATGTTTTGGAGCCCATTTAAATGGACAGGGATGTGCTCTGTGGGCTCTGCCTTCTGCTTTTCCCCACTCTGAGAACTGCTCAGATTGTTTATGTTTGCAAAGCTTCCTGGGTGGCAGATGGATGAGTCCTCTTTAGAGCCTGTCAAACTGTGATTCTGCCCAAGGATGACCCTCTTTTTGAGGAACCCTGAGCTCCTCGCCTGACAAGGAGAGGTTCACAGCAGCAGAAGTCCTGCTCTTGGAGCAGAGGCACCAACAGGAACAGCTGATGAGACTACAGAAGCAAAGTGCTTTGGAAAGAGACAAGTTCAGAAAGGAGGGAGCTGCTTGCCTTTGAGTCTGGCCGTCTCATGGACTCTACTAGGGCCCTTTTTCTTCTTTAAGCAGTGCAGAAAGTATGTGAATGAAACAAGATGCTCTCTTGTTCCTGGATTTCAGCTTTGAACTCACCTATCTGGTACCTGAAACCAACAGTGGATGGAGGATGATCTATTTCTTGGAGGAAAGAGGACATTACTTTTTCTAGTTCTCTGAAAGCAAAAGCTCCTTACACCTCCCTTTCAAGGGCTGCATACGGAGAGAAAAAGTGTCCCAGATAAACAGAGGTCAAGATTCCAGCAGCTTCCTGGTAACGTTGTCCAAGCAGATGGAGTGAAAACTGGAGAGCAGTGCAAGTTGCATGGACATGAAGATGCCATCGGCATCTTCAAAACCCCGGAACTTCAGAGAGGGACCTGTCTGCAAAATTGTTCCAAGTAGACCTCAGCCCCGCTGCTTCCTTCTGCCGGTGGGCTTGGAGCTCTGGGTTTACGTTCACAAAATGCGTAACCTGCAGAAGAAGAGGTAGGAGAGGGCTCAGGCAGGTGCTGTGGGAGGAACTGGGACTTTAACTTGAGTCTGTCTTTATTTGCTCTTTTCCCTTTCCTTTGCCCGTCTGCCGGGGTGGTCAGGCTGGCTCACTTGAACAGCAGATTTCTATTTTCTGCCTAAATGGCCCTTCTGGGCTTTTCTTATGGACAGTTGAGCTATGGCCTTTGGAAGCTGTTGTACGTGCAGTGTTGTAGTGTGCTTGAGTTTCTTCATTGACCTTCAGTTGGTTCCTCTGCCCCTGGCACTGTGTTTGAGTGCTCTTATCCCTGCAGTGACTGAACTGCACCCAAAGTTGCTTCCCAAAACTAGCTCTGGCTGTGGGGCCCCGAGGATGTGGGAAGGGCCAGGTGGGTTTTAGAAGTGGGTTGTGTTTCTATTAATAATTGCTATCCTTGACTCTTGCCCGTTTTTCCGTGGCAGCAGAGGCTTGGCAGAGTGCGACGCGCAGAAAAAGCCTCCTCTCCCTTCCCCATGTTTGCTGAGGTCCCAAACTGAGCCGTGATGTTAATTAGATAAGTCAGATACTCCGCAAAGCAGCCTGTTCAAGGACAAACAGATTTTAATTAAAGGCTGTGTGCACTGGAAGGTCATGTCACTGCGTTGTGCCTCAACAGTTACTATGGGAACACCAGGAAAGCGCCCAGAGAGCGGAGTGTGTGCAAGTGTGTGTGTGTGTGTGTATCAAAATGCAAGCCTCAGGGCACAATTTTCACTTGTGGTTAAGTTTCCACTGGCAAATATGGCCAGAGTGAGAGTCCATCTTTGGAGCGTGTAGTTGGGTTCTGTTGCTGTGGGGTTTTCTGTTGCGGGAAGTCTCACTTCAAGCTACTCAAATCACAAAAGAAGTTTGATCTGAGCTAAACTGCGATGCCACGAATTAGGGAAATTGGTCTCCAGCTCAGTTTTCAGACTGTTTACTGTTGGTGAGCTGTTTCTTACAGCAAGCCTGGATATTGGGAAGAGTTTTGTTTGTGTTCAAATTTGAACTATTTTGAAATTTGCTTCTGTCTCTCCTGTCTAACTGGAACCCAACATTAAGTCCTGTGATAGTGGCTCATTCCCACATTTCAAGTTCTCACAAGATTCATCTCTGCTAAGCTGCCCAAATTTAATCTTGCTGATTTGAGTATAAGGTGTTCCTTGTCTGTCTTCAATCCCAAACCTTCTTTCAGCCTGTTGGGATGAGACTTGTCAATACTTGACAATGACACTAGGTAACCACTCTAGAGATCCACAAACCATGAATCCATGCCTTGGGACTGATGGAAGTTTGGTATCATCCCCAAACATGTCCCCTAATTCAACATGCTATAGCCAAATCTTTCTTACTAATTTTTATATGGTCTAGCAAGAGGATCAGTAGAGAGAAGTTAAACATGTTTAGTATTAACAGTCTTAATATTTTTATTTCCCCAATCAAACAGAAGTTGAGGCAGGGACTGATGCTGCACTGGCACCAGAAGCAGCCTTCTCACACAAGTAAAATAGCCGTTCAAATGGGGGCTTTGCAGTGAGCTTGAAATCAAATATTTGTGTGGGAGTTTGAGGTGGGAGCTCAAATGAGCTGCTTCACAATCCTGTTCTCCCTGTTGTTACTCGGTGGTTTTGGGGACAAATGAACAGAGAGACAGGAGAGGTCACAAATGTGTTTGGAGGGAGAGTCTGAAAGCAGTTCTTTGCCCCTCTTTTTGTTGTTGTTGCTTGGACAGTCCTTGTGGGTTGACCTGCTTTGGAGGATGTGCCGTTGGGCTGCCAAGCGTTGGGTGTTTTTGGAGCCATACGGAGCCAGCTCAGCAGGGAGATTGCCAGGCAAATAGGGTTGGACTTTAGACAGTTTATGCACTGCTCATAGAGGAACTGGCTTTGTTTCCTGGCAGCTGAAACAATGCCGTTCTGCCTGTTTATAGGAAAAAGATATCAGGATAGGTATTTTGTACGTGCATCTCCCCACGCCCCTTGGTGGCAGTGGGAGGTGAGTTCTGTGTGTGGACTTGGGCAGAAGACACTGGAGCACAGACCCTGAGCAGGAGGAGCTCTGCCTTGGTGTTGGTGAGCACGGGGCACGTGTTGGTGTGTGGTGGCAGGGGGTGTCCTTGGGGAGAGACACCAGAGCAGCACAGAATGCCCCAGCTCAGCCAGCACAACCTCAGCCTTGGTCTGTGGACACTGTGGGTTGCAGGGGCCAGGCCTGGGCTCATGGCAAGGTTGACTTTGGGAGAAGCATCTTCTGGGGCTCAGCAGGAAACTGCTGCAGGAGCTGTCAGCTGGGCTGCTGCTCTTGCAGTGATGATGAGCAAGTTGTTCTCGTGGTCTGGGTACTACAGTCAAACTTCTGGCAAGTGCTCTTTGCCTGAGAACACAATAGAAACCACCTTTGGACGTGCAGTATCTTTTATCTGACCCTTGCTTTTCTGACGCTGGACCAGTGAGCTATGTTTTTTTCTGAGCAGATGTCCACCTTTGACCTAGATAGTTTTGACTGTTAAAAATACACTGAGCAGAAATGAAAAAAGCCAAAAAGGGCAAAGAAAAGTGTCTGAATAGAGGAGCAGGAACACGCTGTGTCCATCTGTCTCGTGAAGGGGCTGACTTTGCAGCAGACCAGACATTTCCAAGTGTAAGCTTTCAAACGCCTGCTCTGTCCCTCCTGAGAACTTCAGATACACACGGTCTTACAGGGACAGCTGTAAGTTGGAGAGGACTTAGTGGAGCACTCAAAGGAGCACCTTTCCTGTCTCCTGAAGCAGTATTGCTGCTCTTGCTCCTCTTCTCTGGCTCGCAAAGCGCTCACGCTGACAGCACAGCGTGTGCCATTGCCAAGGGTGTCAAGAAATGGGAAGGGAGAAAGCTAGGCTGGAGGCTAACGTGCAGGGAGCCTGTGGAAAAAGTGACAGCAGGAGAGTTAATGAAAAGCAGACGCCGAGAACTGGGAGCTGCTCAGCCAAGAAATTCTGCACAGTCCAGGGTTTTCCCTGGTATCCAATAAAAACGTGTCAGAATTTGGCTACCCTCTCTCTTACCCCTGGGGAAAATGGTGCAGGCGTGAACAGTCTGGGTACGTGGCTTCTGTGCTGTGCACCAGCTGGAAGAAAAACAGATGCCATGTTGCTCTTGCCGTGTGTGTGTGTATTTTGAGAGCCAGGAACCCTGAGTTTCTTGTCCAAATTCCCACCGGGAACCCAGGGGCCTTTGGCTGCTTGCCCCGTGTGGTCTGTAAATCTGGACGCTCCTGTGTCTCAGGTCTCAGAGCCTGGTTTCTCTGAGGGGCTGAGTGCCCACCACGTCCACTAAAAGCTGGTGTCCACACCGCTGAGGTGTGCCAGCTGCTTGTCCCAGAGTAATTGGCACCCAAAGAGTGTTTGACTTCGGGTTGGTGCTTGGGGCTGAATGCAGAGAGGTGGCTGCTGCCTGGAGGGTGGCTCCATCCAGGTTGTGGATGTGAGTAATGAAAGGTGTATGATGAAGTACAGCAGCACGGGTGCACTGCAGTCGGACTCTTCTAGAAATGACTTGTCTTGCTTTTGGCAGAATGGAGGCATCCTGCCTGGAACTGGCCCTGGAAGGAGAGCGCTTGTGCAAGGCTGGGGACTTCAAAGCTGGGGCAGCCTTCTTCGAAGCAGCAGTGCAGGTGGGGACAGAGGATCTGAAGACTCTCAGTGCCATCTACAGTCAGCTGGGCAATGCTTATTTCTACCTTAAGGAGTACTCCAAGGCCCTGGAGTACCATAAACACGACCTTACCCTGGCCAGGTAAGCATGTCAGCAGTGCTTTGTCCTAATCCGAGACAACCTGTCAGGGTCTAAACCCAGCAGCCTGCAGGAATCTGCCCCAGAAATAAGCATCCAAATCTAGTCCTGAGGCAAATGAGTGACCATCCTGTGGAGAACTTGGCAGGCAGCAAGAGTGGGTCAGCCACCTTCAGAGCAGGGAGATGGAGACAGAGATATGGATACGAGGAGGGTGCTTGGAGCAAGAGCAGGGCAGTGTCCAGTTCTCCTGTGCCCAGGTATTCATTCTAAGTCTCCTGAAGTCATTACAGTACCTCATCTGAGAGAGCAAAAAACCAAGAATCTGCCTTCAAAATTGAGACAGCTGGTATGAAGCACCCCAGTGAGTGTGTGCTGGGAACAGCTGGATGTGGTGTATGTACCATCCAGTGCTCACTGCAGCTTGAATTCTGCCTCCAACAGTTGGTGAATAAAAGTCTGTGAGCTCTTTAACACCTCTCTTCCTTCCTCCTGTCATCTTGTAGAACCATTGGGGACCGCATTGGAGAAGCCAAGGCAAGTGGCAACCTCGGGAATACACTGAAAATACTAGGACAGTTTGATGAAGCTGTTGTTTGTTGCCAGAGACACTTGGACATTTCTCAGGAGCAGGGAGACAAGGTAATTGGTTCATGGCATCCAAGAGGAGATATTTCCTAGCTTTAAAAATAATCTGTTTGCAAGTCACTAAATATGATATGCTGAAGGTGGGCTTTGGAAGGAGGTAGAGTGTAAAGCTCTCCCTTCTGACTGTATCACAGGTCTCATGCTGTGACAGTGAAGATGGGATAGGAAAACATGGGGCTCCTGGCTTTGACCATCTCTGCCCAGCAATGGAAAGGTCCATATTGGGATGTGAAGGATAATACCTTGCTGTTTCTTGTTCTTCCCTTTAGGTAGGTGAAGCCAGAGCACTCTATAATATAGGAAATGTTTACCATGCAAAGGGAAAGCACTTATCTTGGAACACGGCCCAAGACCCAGGCTACCTGTCTCAAGAAGTCAAGGAGACTCTACAGAAAGCTTCAGAATATTATGAGTAAGTACTCGAGCTTGGCCAGCCCTTCATCCTGCAGGGAACAGGGCTGGTCAGGCATCAGTGATTGCTAAAATACACACAGATACACCTTTGCTGAGCTCATCCTGCTTAGATCATAATCTGTATTTATGGTATCCCTGTCCTGCTGACAGCTCGCAGGGGCTGCAGGTTAAGCTGAGCTCCAATAACCATTAGGCTAATGACAGCTGTATGGGGTGCAAGACAACAATTTTTACTGAGTCCTCTTGGAAGCATTTCTCATAAAGGGGATCTGTTTCCTGGGCCACTGAGGCTGTGGGAGCTCTGGAAGATCTTTGATGCAAAGAATGAGACTGTGGGCTCAGCATCGCTGAAAATCAGGGCACGGAGTGAGGTTTTGCATGTTGTGATGAATTAGAAATATTCCCTAGAGATGCCGAGTTATCATGGCAAATTAACCTCAAGGAAGGTGAGAGAGAGGAGGACTGCAAGCTTTTATAAAACGAGAGCTAAAATTCATCCTGGCATTGCCTTGGTAAAGCTCAGTGTAGTTTGAAGTATGATCATGCAATTAAGTTCAATAATCTGCTCCTCCCCAGAGCTGTGTCTGGAAGCTCCACTGTAGCTCCCGCAGCCCCTGCTGCTCTCTGCCGGCCTCCATGGGAAGGATCCCTGAGTGTCTCCATCGCTGGGGTCACGGACAGAGACTCTGTCACTCCAGGGAGGAGACTTTCACTTGAAGTCCCCGTTGTCCTTCTCCTGGATCTGTGGTTTATCTTGCTTGTAACAGCCTTTCCTTTCCTAAAATAGTTTCAAAGATCACTCTGATGTCCCACACAGGAAGGCTGTCACTAGACTTTCGGGCTAATGTTTTTCTCCTTGTACATCAGAGTGTTGCTTTGTTAATACAGGGTTGGTTTTTTTAAAATAACCTTTTTAAATGAAGAGTATAACAAGATCTTATATCAGTCTCCTCATATCTGAGGATGTGATAATGCCTATATATAGTTCACCATCCTTTTTCCAAAGAATGGTTCCTGTAGCATAGTCAGTGGGTAAATTTGTGCCAGCTGGGAGCTCTACACTTCCCTGTGTGTTCTGTGTGTGTAAAGGGAGAAAAAAACCAAGGTAAAGAAATGCTGGGAAGCTCCATGAGCAGAGCCCTGGCATTTCACTGAATTTCACTGAATTTCTAGAGTTGGAAGGGACCATAGAGATCATCTAGTCCAACTCCCCTGCTGAAGCAGGATTGCCCAGAGCTAGAGCATGTTGCTCAGGACTGCATCCAGGCGGGTTTTGAAAATCTCCAAAGAAGGGGACTCCACAACCTCCCTGGGCAGCCTGTTCCAGGGTTCCATCACCCTCACCGTGAAGAAGTTTCTCCTCATATTTGAGTGGAACCTCTTATGTTCCAACTTGTGCCTGCATGGCACTGTGGATCTTGTCCTCTCCCCAGGTTTGGCCCTGTCCTGCTGTAGGTAATCTCCTTTCTCCTGTGCTCCTGCTTCCCCCCTGTACAGTGAGATGGCTTTTTCTTATTTAATGTAGGATCCTGTCAGACCATCGGGGTGTGAGCAGTTTCTGCACACAGCTGCAGGTTGCTGGAGGTCAAGAGAGCAGCAGGGACTTACCAGGGGATGTCCAGGATGGGTGGTTGGGGATTGGAAATGCCTTCTCCAGGGTTAGCTCTCCTGATTTTATGATGCACGTCTCTTCATTGAGTCTCCTGCAGAGAGCGTTGGCTGTGTCTCACCAAATGTCCTGCTCTGATTTCTTTCAGGAGGAACCTGTCCCTGGTGAAGGAGTTGGGAGACAGAGCTGCACAGGGCCGTGCTTATGGCAACCTTGGCAACACCCAGTACTTACTTGGCAATTTCAGTGAAGCAATAGCCTTCCACAAGGAGGTAGGAAACTGCTGAGCCTTCTTCCTGGGGCCAGGGGCTGGGACTGACTCTTGGGGGGCAGCAAGTACAGGGAGGTGTTTGCCCTCAGCTATTTTTCTCTCTCCCATGTGTACCTCGGGGTCTGGTCCTGTTGTGCTACTTCGTGTTGAGCAACGTCTACTCCAGTCCCCATCAGCACCTAATGAGTGGTTTGAAGGAAGGGTGCTGTTGGCTTGGAAAATGAAGGCAATATCTAAGGGCAAATTGCAGCTGGGCCTAGCAAAGCTTTTCTGCTCTTTAATTTATATCGGTCTGGATGTTAATAAATGCAAGCCATGAATTTAATTAAGCTGCTGAAAGAGCTGTTGATCAGGAATAAACGTTGGTTGTAGAACATAATGACTTTCTGTAAAGCTTTACAGAGGGGTGAGGTGACACAGTCCCTGCCCCCATTCAGATGCAATTCAGCTTCTAGTTCTGAATGCAATCAGTTACCTTGGAGTGGAAAGTACCCAGCACCTTGGAAAGTCAGCCCTGTCACAGCTCGTCTGATTTTTAATGCTGGAGGGCAGCAGCCAGCCATGTTTTGGGAGAAGGCTTGAAAAGGGGCAGGAAAACCCTGTGGAGTATTTGGGACCCAGGAGCAGGTGCTGTGAAGTGGAGGGAGAGAAGTGGGGAGCAGGGGGATGTGAGAGGAGAGGCAGGGTGAGGTGCAGGTGAGGTGCAGAGGTTTGGGGAGCAGCGGCAGTGCAGGCGGTGGGACGGAGCACACACACATCCGTGTTCATTCCGTGCCACAGCACTGCGCACCGTGACAGCCCTGTTCCTGCACGCTAGGCCGCTGATCGACCACATCCCTTCTCAGCCTGACCCACAGCTCTCCCTTTGCCTCTTTCTTCAGCTGTTGAAGTGCATGCGTAGCTCCTTTTGCACTGTAGCTGCAGAGATGTGGACTGAGGGGCTGGAGCAGGAGTGAGAGGAGGATGTGACATCTACATCCGCTTTTCCAAAGGCCTTTCCTGATCCCGAATTGCAAAAGAGGGAGAGATTTCCTGCATCCAGCCCCCATAAACACGTGCCCCACTACCTTGCTGGGCGGGAGCTTTGCAAACCAAGAAGTTAACCTCCCGGAAAAGTTGCTGTGTAACAGAAGTCTGGCAGGGGCCAGCCTGTACTCACTGATTTGTGTCTGCTGCAGCGCCTTGCTATTGCTAAGGAGTTTGGGGACAAGGCAGCCGAGCGGAGAGCATACAGCAACCTGGGCAATGCACACATCTTCCTTGGGAGGTTTGACATCTCTGCTGAGTACTACAAGTAAGTGCCAGGGGCTAAGGCAGACTCAGGGCATGTGTTCCCTGGAAATCTTGACCTACTGTAGTGAATTCATAGGCTCAGGGGGATGTGACAAGAGACCTGGGGGCCAGTTGCATGTCTGGTGCTCAGCAGTGGCAAGTAATACAGCCACCTGATGGCCTGCAGCGTGTCACAGGCATCAACTTCAACGCAGTACGTGCCAAAGTGGTGACTTTCCCTGTCACTTTGCAGACCAGTGACCAGGTCCCTTCATTTCTACCTCTTCCATGCAGGAAAACTCTCCAGGTCTCCAGACAGCTCAAGGACCAGGCGGTAGAAGCCCAGGCTTGCTACAGTCTTGGAAATACATACACACTGCTTCAAGACTATGAAAGAGCAATCGAGTACCATCTAAAACACCTGGTGATAGCACAGGAGCTGGGAGACAGGTAAGGGGCTGCCTCAGGAGATGGTGTTTCTGCTCTGCTGGGCTCAGAGCACTCACCTTTCCCTGTAGATTTATTGTTCTCTACAGCTGGGGCTAAACAGCAATGACAGGTATTCTTGAAAATCTTTAAAATCTCAGAGCACAGGCCTTAGTCCAGTCATCTGTCAAAATCATAACCTGATTGACACATTTATCATGTCATTCAAACCTGGAGATTGTGCCCTAAAAGGTATGTCTGTGTGGGCTGAGAAAGATTTCTAATAAGAGGTACTTCAAGAAAATATATTCTATTCAGCTCTTTGCCGTGAGGCTGCTGCTGATTTTTATCCCAGAAGGACCTCTCTAAATCTCCCTCGAAGTTCACAAAAATTGTATCTCCCTTACAAAGTGTGTGGTTAGGGCATGCAGACAGACAGACATGCTGCTTTGTCCTGTCGCTCTGAGATGATGCTGGAAACTTCCCTGTAGAAGCAAACAACGTTACATGGAGCGTGTGGAATAGATGTATTTTGCTTCTCGGCCTCATTCCTTCTTTTTTAGGAGGCTTAGCCTCATTATTTTATATTTTTTAGAGAGGTTGGTTCTCTTCTCCTGGATACAGTCTCTGTGATCCTGTTGCCTTCTTGCAGCTTAAGTGATGCAGCCACTTTGTTCAGTGTCACTGCTGGTGGCTCCTGGGAAGCTGGGTGTCCTCCACTAGATGGAGCAGAGACACTGAGATGGGAGCTCCGTGGCACTATCCGGGCAGCATCTGCTTGGAGAAGGTATAATCCCACCCAAGGGTGATTCATGCTGTGGGGGTGCAGGCCTGTGGGCTCCTGCGTTTCTGGGAACACACCCTATGAGCAGAAGGTATTGAACAGGGTGACAAGAAAAATGTTTAAATGCTGATCAACCCGCCCAAACCTCTGAAAAGGGAGTTGCAGTCACGCCGAACCTCCCCCTGCGCCCCCATGTGCTTTTTTTATCCCCTCACCCCCCACATCTGCTCGCTTGAGGAGCTGAGCAGGCTCTGATGAGCAGTGAGTCCCTGCCTGCTTCTGCAAACAAGTGCTGAAACCCGCTCCAGGGACACTCGGGTGTCTGGCTTGGGTGGGCTGCACTTGGGGGCAAGGGCTGCCTGGGGCAAGTTTCACGTTCACCCACTTTCTCTGGCTTCTGAAAACAAGAAGCTGCACCCTGGAGGCCTTGTAGAAGCAGGTCAATGTTTGCTTGGCTGTTGGTTGCATCCTGGGTGATGCTGTGCTGGTGTTCTGCAGGAGGATGTTGCGTGCCTGTGATGTTCTCTCCTTGCCATGTTCTTGCTAATGTAGCTCTGGGCTGTTGTTGAACTAAAGGTCTGGATGCTGCACGTCTCCTTGATGCACTGTGCATCTCTGGAGAGGAGTCCTTGCAGTGTGAGGTGGAAGCTGGACAGAAGCTCTGGCTTCTGCTCTCTGGCTGGTGCTCACAAAGCTGAACCATTCTGGACCATTGCTGCCCTGCTTAGCTTTTTGCCACTGTGGGTGCAGGCCCTCTTCTGAGACTATCACCCATTCCTTCATCTTACTGACCTCGGCATAAGAAGAGTTTAAGATATATGGTGCATTTAATTTTCCTTTCTAGAATATTTCTGTAGGTGAAGGCATCGCTAGGAAGCCTGGCTGTTGGTGCTCTCGAGGAGGCCCTGAAAGGGCTGCTGTGCTGCTGGGTTTTGCCCAGCATTTCTGTGGTTGACAGTTTCCTGTTTTGCAGGGTGGGAGAAGGAAGAGCCTGCTGGAGTCTCGGAAATGCCTATGTCTCCCTGGGGAGCCATGAACAAGCTTTGCACTTTGCAAGGAAACATCTTGAAATCTCCCAAGAGGTAAGAGAAGCTGGCTCATGTTAGAGGGAACCAGCTCTCCCTGTTGAGGGATTTTATTTTGCACCAATAGGTTACATTAATGTAGTTCTTCTCTTGCTATGACTACTCTGGAAAGCCCTTGTCTATGTGCTGTTTCAATGGTGTCTTGAGGAACTGCAAAGCTTGGCTGAAAAATATTCTTTTTATCGGAGGCTCCCAGCCTTCCCTTTAATTACAGCTAATACATTTGCTGTACGTTGCTCTTAATTGATATTTCTGGGTGGGAAAGAACCTGGGGACTAGTTTTGTCGTCTGCTGGCCAAGGTGGTGTGTGGTGTGAAGGTTCTCTGATACCTCAGTCTGTTCTTAAGACCCCCTTTTCCTGAGCACGAGGCTGGGAGATCTTGGCTGAGATGGACCTTGTGGTCTGACCTGATTTGCTGGCAAGTTAATTACCTGCAGAAAACAAGGCCAGCTTCTGCCTGGTGGCTGGGTGCTCCAAGCCTGCTGTGTTCTGCACTGGGACAGAGTGGACGTGTGACAAGCTGCTGGAGGGTCCCAGCTGTGAGTAAATTCTCACACTGTCCAAACCCCATCGATGGCTGATGCTGGATGTGCAAAGCCTGGAGCCCTGTACAGTGGCCACACCATTTGGGGCTTCATGTGTCCAGCAGCTCTGGTTTTCACAGATTTCCTTGCTCAGCGAGCTGCAGCTTTCCTGGGGCAAAAATGTATGGCATTTTTAGGTGGCTCAGAAGTCCAGAAAGCAAGAATGCTATTGTTTGCTCTTTCCAGTGTGTTAGGAGGAAATCAGCTGTGGCCTGTTTAGTCCTCCCCAGATGAAGAAATTGCCCTATTTAAGCACTAATTGAAATCACCATATGTAAGTGCTTTGTGCATTCTCCTGCCTGTCTGTTAGGTTGGCTAAATCTTGGGGTAGGGCTGACATACCAGCCTTATTATGTATTTAATTATACTTATCAGACATGCAGAAAGAATACTGTTCTTTGGCCCTGTACATTTTTAGGACAAATTAACTTTTCCAGTTCTAGTCTGCTAGGACTGTTGCAGCACGGGGCTCATTACTCAGGACCAGATGGCAGCTCGGTGATGTGTGGGGCAGGTGAGGGGAGGACAGGAGCAGTCATGGTCCTGGTGGCTTTGTGGGGTGGAGGGGAAACCCAGCAGGGTGGGGGTTCACAGTGATGTTCTCATTCTGGGGTGATGGCTGTGATTACAGGGCATGTCAGGATTGGGTTACTCATGGCAGGTGGCTAATAAACCCCCCCACATCGTTAATTGAGGAGCAGTGCAGACTGTCTGCTTGTGAGGAGAGTCTGTATTAGCTGCTAGAGGTTAGGGATTCTCTTCTAAAGCTGATGTTTTGGTTTAGCCTTGGGAACCAAGTGAGCTGCTTGTGCTGTTGTGGCCAGCACCAACCAGCATTTTGCCCAGGACAAACCTTTACACACTAACGCGTTCAGCTCACTGCCCACCACCCCTTTCCCTCTTCTGCCCTGACATAAACCTCATGGTTATATTTGATTCCAAATGAAATGTGCTCAGGGTAAGGATAGAATAGAGTCATAGAATCATTCAGGTTGGAAGAGACCCTTGGGATCATCAAGTCCAACCATCTACCCTACTCTACATAGTCCTCCCCTACACCATATCCCTCAGTACCCCATCTAAACATCCCTTAAACACATCCAGGGATGGTGACTCAACCACCTCCCTGGGCAGCCTTGGATGGACCCATCCAAGCCCTCCTGGTAAGTTAATACAATTATTAAAGTTGGCAAAGCCAGTGTTTGGTCACATCGAGGATGTTGGAAGCTGCTGCAGGCTGATCAGAGGTTACTGAAAAACTTCTTCTGAGACAGCTGGAGTGAAGGCTGTGCACCTAAAAACCTTGGAAATCGCCCCAGCTTGGAGACACTGCTCTGGAGTACCTTTGCCAGCTCTGCATGTGGCAGGGGGCTCCTGGAAAACTGTGACATCCAAGCTGAGGACAAGCCCCAGAAGACAGGGCTCTGCTATGCTCTGTGTGTGGTAGGTCCTGCCGAGGATCCTTGTCCTGCCAGTCTGTTCCTCTGATGTTAATAGGGCCTTGGAGAGGATCTGGAATGAGCAGAAGTCAGGGAAGCATTGAACAGAGCATCAAGGACTTCAAGACCTAGCCAGGACATAGTCATTTCTCTGGAGATAATGTCAACAGCAAATCTCTTGTAATTGGCAGGGTATTTATGCCTGATGATAAGCCGTTTGATCTGCCTCCCTTTACTAGTGCTTGGAGCTTTGTCATAAATAATGTGGGGATTTATGATTTTGTCCTAGGATGGCTCACCCTCCAGTCTATCTCGAAGGACCACAGAAGAGCTATTGCAAGGCATTTAATAGGGTGTCAGGCCTCTCCAAAAGAACAGCCAAGGTCTATCCTCTGTAACAGAGGCTGCTGTTCCTCTAAAGATTAGAGACTGTTTCTGAGTGACCTCTCTGTGTTCGCTGGTGATATGTAGCACAGTAATTTTCTTGTTTGGTTAAACTTTGAGGAGAGCCCAGCGGCATGGCTTATAACTCCCTATTTTAAGTAGCAGGAGCCACTGGAAAGATCTCTTCCTGAACATGTAGCTTTGTCTTCCTCGGGCGAGTGGTGAGAATTTGGGAAAATTTGGACTCCAAAAGATTTTGGAACCTTTTGGGGGTCGATCTCTAGGAACAATTCAAAGCTATATGCAACTGAGCTAGGGGAGAAGGCTGCTCAGTGTCCAAGCTCGAAGTGAAACAGTGCCCATGTGGCTGATAGTAGTGTGGCTGCCTGGTGCTCAGTAACTATGGAAATACTTGAGAAAGGGGGTGTTGAGAGTTTTGGGGCGCTCTGCCAAGCCATACTGTGGCTACAGGATGGACAAGATGTGCATGTTTACCTCTGTAAGTCTGTAGCAGCAGGCAAGCTGAGCCCCCTCAGTTCCTGGTACTGAACATTGCAGTAACACGTTTTGAGATGCCACCAGCACACAGCACAGCGTGCACGGACCCTCTCCCAAATTACCCCTGAGAAGTTGTTTTGAAGAGTTACTTTTGTGTTGAAAGCTGAGCTGTACGGTTTCTCGGGCTGTCTCCAAGCTCTCTTCTGGCTGGCTGTGTGCTTGCTTTGATATGGGACTGGCAAACCCTTTGCTAGGAGTTGTTTGCTTAGAGCTTGTTGCCTTTTAACCAGTTGCCCTGTTGGTTTTCACCCTGTAGATTGGGGACCGGAATGGAGAGCTGACAGCACAGGTGAACATGGCCCAGCTCAGGACGGCCCTCGGCTTGGGACCTGGGGATGAGGACATGGGTACAGCTCACCACTATTCTGGCTATGAAGCACAAGGTGAGTTTTGGGCTTTTCCTGGCGTTGAAAGGTCTCATGAAGGATGTGGTTACGGTGTGTGTGGGGGGAGGTGCTTGCGAGTGGGCAACACGGGAGGAAATAGAAGTATCAGAGCAGGATGGGGCTTTTAGGTGTCCCTACCAGAGAGGAGAGTGTGGTCTGTTTTGCTCTGTGCTTCCCACAAGCTGCAAGGGCAGGGAAGGATCTGCCCCAAAAAGGGCACAGAATGAGTTAATGGAATTAATCTGCATTAGGAATGTAATTCCATGTGCCAAGCAGCAAATCAGCCTTTGTCTATTGTAAAGCTCTGCAGGGCCCTTTTAACTGATGTGACTGATAAAGCAAGCTTTCAAAAGGTGACTGGCAGGGATTTTTCTGATTAGCACCCAAGGAACAAGCCTGCAGCATGGGCTGAAGGCAGGCTGTGAGCATCAGCTGGGTGCTGGCTCAGCCCTGCAACACCTGCAGCGATGCCCAACTTGGAAACAAAGCTGTGGCAAGACTTGGTCCCAGCAGACAAAATGGCTTTACTCCCTGCACCGGGTTGTTCTCCCTCCACTCCCTGGCCAGCAGGAGAGCGGAGCTGAGTCCTTGCCACAGCGTGGTCACCCTGACGTGTGTCCCCAGCTCGGGGACCGTCTGCCTGTCCTGGAACCACCCACTGCAGACATTTGTGGGTGCCTGGCATGGGGCACTTCCAGCTGGTTGCTCTGTCGCCGTGGACAGACTTATTAATTCACACAGACGAAACTGCATCCTGGGAGGTGCTGGCTGATTAAATATGACCTTGTTAGTGTGAACGTGTTTGCTCAGGCCATGCCTTCTCTTTCCTGTTGATAGAACTGGCGTAGAGAAGATGATGCTTGGGTTGAGGCACAGTGTTCTGGGCGGGAGAAAGGCTGGCTGCGTGTCTCTGTATTGATCTTGAAGGTGCAGCCTGTCTACATCAGTGCTAAATCTTTTCCTGAGAAGTCAAGCTGTGGGTGAGGAGGCCAGTGTGTCCCCCATCAGGGGCTGCACTGGAGCTGAGCTGCCTCCTCAAAGGCTGCCCCAGCCTCCCTTTGCACGTCAGGTCCATCTTTATAACTGCTGGGAAACTTATTAGCTAGGGCCTTCCGTTCATCCTGGCACCTCGTTAGGGACTTCCTTTTGGGCCAATTATTTGGCTCTGAAAGGGGAACAGGAAATTAACCTTGATGTTGGTGTTGCTCCTGGGACAGTGAGGGGTGGAGGAAAGGAGCTGGTGGGGTGCCAGGTCCCTCGGGTTGGGGAATGGAGAGGTGCAGGAGGGCAGTGCCAAGGACCACCTGGCCATGAGAGCACTGTTTACCAAGACGTGTGTGAGTGGATGCTTGAGTGTGCTGGGTGGAAGAGCTGCCATGGGAAGGAGTTGGGCCAGATTTGTCTGGATGAGGGGCTCTGCAGCTCTGACCATACTGCATGACCTTTTTTAGCTGGAAATAATTTTTAAAAAGCAAAGCAATGGTGTCTCTGCTCTCAAAATACACTCCCCATTGAATCTCAGCTTGAATGCAACCTGCTCTGGACTGCTCTGGTGTCCCATGGGCAGGACAGCGAGCCTTGGGGGTCGGGGGGTGTCTTGGTCTGAGCAGAGCCCCTCTTGGGGAGAGCTGAGCCTGGCATGTAGCAGTGTCCCCCACACGGGTGGTGACACAGCCCCACTGATGGTGTATCACAGCACAAGACTAGGAGAGTGTGTGGCACTGAAGGGTTGGGGTTTTTTGGTTAAGGCAAGTGGCCACCCCAGTCAGTCACTGGGCTTAACCCAGAAGGTGAGGCAGAGCCAGCACGTGGGCTGCTCACTACCCTCTGGTGATCCAGATGTGCTTTTGTTGTGTTAACATCTGGAGCCAGGAGTGATTTTTTTCTCTCATCTGACAGAGCTAGAGCTGTGCCAGCCTCTGTGTGTGTGTGTGTGATGGCTGGAGGGTGGGAAGAGAGGGGCTGAGCAGCCACAGTCAAGGGCAGCGTTCGGTGGAGGTTGCAGTGACCTCGTTAATCTGCGGTGTCGTTGCTCACGTTCCCAAGGCTGGGGCTTATGTCAACAGAAGGATAAAGTGTTCTCTGGAGGAAAACCAGCAAATGACTGAGGTTTGCAGTGTGGGGAGGGAGGGACCGGGGCAGGTTCACTTGCACAGTAGGGCTTCCCCAGCTGTTGGGACCCTCGCTGGGTCCTGGGGACCTGCTGGGGAGGCAAAACAGCTGGGGCTGTGCAGCAGCCTCTTGCATAAGGGAAGGAGTGTGAGTGTTGCAGTGCTTAGCCACGTGCGGGCTCTGACGCATGAATCTCAGGTGGGAAAGGTGCTGTCCCTGTAGAGATCTGGAGAGAGGAGGGGTCTGCAGAGGAGCCTGGCTCTCTTGATTTCTCCTCAGCTTTTATTCTGGCTTCAGCTCTCCTGTTCTGAACTTCAGTAAGAGGATAAGAGAGGCCACCGACGTGTTTCTGAGCCCTTGAAAAGAAGTGAGATGTATTTAATGACTGCCAGGAACTTTAGTACCCTCCTGTGTGCCTATTAAATGATTAGAAAAGCATAATTATTTATATTATTAATAGCAGCAATTTACAGCAAGAGGAACATCTGTTTCTGTAATAGGAAGCAGGTGAGAGAGTTCAGATTCAAGTTGACTTCTGAACCAGCCGTGCCTTTTGATGTCAACAAGTCTCATGGTGAGGAGAGCTTTCAAATTTTTTTTCCGTTCAAATTATTTTCCCTGCTCAAGTTTATAAAATGTCTGCATATTCATAAGGATGCTAAAATCATCTGATGGGGCGTGCGTGTTATAAAACACATTAATTTCATCAAGCAGGTAGAATAAAGTTTTGTAGCAAACTTGAGTTCTGGGAAAATCTGTCCTGTTGGCTGAGAAACCCTGAGCCAGACCATCAGACTGTGGTGTCCTTCACAGGTTACTCTTGCTTCTAAGTCTTGGGCATTGCCCTCTGCCGAGGGCCTGGGGGAGGAAGGAGTGTCTGATGTTTTCCTCTGCTGTTTTGGCTCCTTTTCCTGAGCTCTTTGTGATTTTAATTAATATTCTGAGAGCAATTGGACGTCAGAAGACAAAGCTGGAGGCCAGGGAAGTGGGGCAACTGCTGCAAAAAGTCTTGTGAAAGCAACGACCTTGTCAAGAAATGCAAACAACAGAGAGCTTAAAGCAACAAACTGAAAGAAGCTGGAGAGTAGTTAAAACATGGAGCAAATAAACAGAGGTTGTGTCTGTTTCTCCAAACACCCAAAAATGTGGCCCTGAAATCTGGTCTTGTTCCCTTTCACATGCTGCAAGTTAAGCCTCGAGTAAGCATCTCCAAGGGCTTTTGCCTTTGGAGAGGAGTAAGGGAACGTGCTGTGCCTTTGAGGGGGCTGTTTCATAGGGGTGAAGGCAATTGTGAATGACAAAAAGTGCTGCCTGGTGCTGGGAGGAGATGTCCCACAGTGCAAACATCCAGCTCTGCCCTCGGCATGGCTGTTGGCCATGGGGTGGGAGTGCCAGCTGCCCGTGCCAGCCTCGCTGGCTGCCCTCTTCTAGATCAGTGGGTTTGGGCTGAGGTTTGAGCATCAGCTTCGCAAGGAGTCGGTTGTGCCGAGTGCTCGGGGGTAGCAGTGAATTAGGAGCACGGAGCTGAGCCCTTCCCAGCCTGAGCCTGGTGGCAGTGCCAGCCTGGGCTGTCCCCGGGTGGGTAACTTGGGTCTGGGGTACACTAAACAGAGCTCTGCCTTGCATCGTTCCCCTCTTCAGTTCCTCCTTGTCAGCCCTCCAAAGTGAAAACTGACTTGGGGCTGCTTTTCTTCCATTCTCAGCAGCGTGTCAGCCTCGGTTGCCGTCTCCGATAGCATCGGTGTTAGGAGACACTGAGCAACACCTCTCCTGGCAGCTGGGTGTAGGTGGGAGGGATGCAGATGTTCCAGGAGGCGTTGGCACGTAGATGCTTTCAGAGCATTGTAAACTGGTTCCTGGCGTGGTTTCTGTGCTGTTTGCAGTAGGCAGACGCTGCTGCCCAGCTGTGCTTAACAAGCTCTGAGGGCAGGAAAGGACTTCCCCTGTTCTCTGCACATCTTCTGCTGAGAAAGGGTAGGCACAAGGTGAGACTGAAGCTTTGGTGTTCAGGAGCTTCAATTGCTGGGTCCTGCTCATCCCTGTGTGAGAGGCAGCTGTGCTTCAGGTTGCATTCTCAGGTGGTGAAGTGGGCAGCCCAGCCCGGGTGGGCATGAAATCCCTCTTCTTCCTGAGCAGGAATTAACTCTGTGTGGCTTTGAATGTGGGTCTTTGCATCTTCAATGCAGTTTTGAGCTTGCCTTCTTCACAGGAATCTTTGAACCCTTGGATCAATTAGACAGGGATAGAAGAAACCTGCTTTTATGTCTCCCAGCCTGTTTGTTTTTGTTTGTTTGTTTGCTTTAAATATCTTTGAAGTATCTAAGAAGTGTTTAGGGCAGCTGGAATATGCTAGATTGACCAGCCTCCTGTTGACAAAGCAGGGAGGTGGCAGTGCTGCTCACCCCTGCCAGCCTACGCTGGGATGCTGCCTATGGACAGGGATGTTCCTTCTCCATGGTGTCCTTGACCCTTTTGCAAAGGACTATGCTGGGTGACAGCTGGGAGATGTGGCCCTTGGAGACCAGTGTCCTTCGACTGGGATGGCAGTGTCTGGGTAGCATTTGCCTTCCATGTGGCAGCTGAATGCAGGGGGTCACATCACTAACGGCTTCAGCACGAACCTGCCCTGTCCTTATCGGTCAGACTGAGTAAGCACAGTAGCAATGGAAATTGCTTAATATTAAGTATCCTCAACTATATTTTTTTTTTTTTCACAAGAGCTGATAGGCTGCAGCTCGGCCATTTTTTCATTCTGAAAATGAAAGCTCGAGGCTAATTGTACCTGGTTAATTGTACCTGCTTATGCAGAGTTTTGATGGATGAGGTTGTTGACTGAAGCAGAGAAGCTTTTGGCCAAGTAGAAGCAGATTGCGGAGTGGTCGGGT